AAAAGGCAAATGTCAGGGAGGGCAGTGATGGTAAGTCTCTTCCCCATTCTCCTGGAAGTACCAACTGCTGGTGCAGGTTTAGCTTGTTTACAAGAATGCAGCTAGGTTTCAGCATAATGTTAAACATTAAACTGCAATAACACTTTCGGTTTTGACCACAGGGTGTTCCTGAGAAGCCTCACAGTGACTAAATATTTGGATCTACACTGAAGGCAGGCGAAGATCAGTTCTTGAATCTGAACTAGAATTTTTTTCTTCTTGAATAACCTGCGTGAGCTTCCTGCGCAAATGACTGGTGAAAAGATGCTTATTCACCTTAGAGCGGCCAAGAGGTTACCTTGATGTTTTTTCCTAGAAGCCTCTGGGTTTGACTGTTCTGTGGGAGAAGTCAGTACAGACATAATGCATAGCAAGTCCATGCTTGGTGGCCATTCTCCCAAGTGCTAGGTTCCTGTTGGAAGTCATTGAACCAGCTGCCATATTTCAAAGCCTTGAAACAAAACTTATAATTACAAGCTTTGTACAAGTGCCCAAAGAAAGTTGGTTGGTGCTGAAAGGTGGAGTACATGGATGGGTTTAATAGGAATAGTATTTATCAAAATGTTCTTTTAACATAGGGTTGCCTTAAAATGAAGGCGATTAGAGTAAAAGGTACAATCCTTCAGATGTTGTATGAAGGAATAATAACTATAGGCACAAATCACAGTTCCCTTGGAAAACATTCTTCGCTTTCTCCACTGAAATAAAGGAGAGACGTGTAAGGAACTCTACCTATTTCAGTGTGCTTTGCACAGGAGTACTTATCCGAAGTGCTTTGATTTGTGGTTTTTGAAAACCTGTTCTCCTTGGAAGTGGGAAGCAAACTATCTTGCAGACAGAAAAGCAATAGGTCTGTCAGCTGCTTATCAAACTGATAGCGTGGTCCCTTACCACTTCCCTGCTATTGGATACACACAGCCAAAATTGATTTTTGCTCAGTAATGTATGTCACTGCAACTCTGTTGGGCAGGCCCTCAAGTGACTTTACTGATAAGCCTGTCCTCGGAGTGTTACACCAGCCTAAGAGGAGGGCATTCCTATGTGATTCCTGTTAAACTATATAGCAACTGGACTAGTTTCAGGGCCCAAGCAGTAGAGGCCATGACAGGTGCAGAGCAGGCCAACAGTGTTACTTAAGGCTTATCTTAAATGATTTTTGCTTTACAGTGTGTTTTGGAGCAGATCACTGCTTAGTGTTTGTTTTTCGCAACCCTATAGAACTTGCAATCTGTGATTGCCTTGTAAGGAAGAGTGCTTGTCACTACAATACACGTTGGGTGTTTCTTAGTAGTTTCATGGTGAGCACAATATTCATTCAAATAATATAGACAACAGCTGACCTAATGTAAAGTGCAATGTACAGTTGAGAGAAATCTGAGCCTTGTTGTCTCCTCTTTAGTATTTCTTGGTGATATTGAAGAAGAGTTTTGAACTCATTTCAATGCTGCATGGAGGCAAAAATCAGCAATAATTTATCTAGTAATGCTAGTTTGTATCGTCTACTAAACCCTGGTCTTAAAAGAAATACTCCAGTCTTGTAGATATGGTGTACAACTGGAACTCTTTCTGACTATTTTTCTGTAATAGGCAGTTAGACGTTCTTCTGTTTTAGCTTCTTGCGGCTTCTTATTTGTTTAGGTTCTAAACTGAGTCTAAAAAAACCCTTCCTCCAGTTTATGTTCAAGGAAACCTCCTCAAAAGCAGTGTTTCTCAAACTGTTTGAACTCTGGTCTCTTTCTTAATTTTCTGCACCTTCCAGGTCCCCCATCCTACTGATAGCCCTTGGATCTTTGGTATGTGGGTGCACAGAATCCTTGTACACAGCAATATAGATGCATCTTGTTGCTGTGGTTCTAAGGTTCTGTGATTGGGGTAGTAATGCTGGCTTTTGAAATGACTAAACATATTGGACTCCCTCCAAAAACCAGGCATCTGGTGAGGAGCTGTCTCTGTTCCAAAACTCCCATATATTGCCTACTATGTGGTAGTGTCCATGGTTACCATAGCAGTTGAGGTGACTGCCACACTATGCTCTGTTGCTGGGAGGAAAGTGGTTCTATCTGCTGCAATATATTTTCCCCACTCTGGAATTCCTACCACCTCTGGTGTGTTGTGCCTTCTCAGGAGCATAGTTTGAGAATCATTGTCCAAAAACCCTAGGGATGCTTAGAAATTAACTTCAGGGGCTTATGGGTTTGTAAAAGCCTACTGCAAAGGAAAAGCAAGATTTTCAAGCTCTGAAATTCTTCTCCTGATGGGATTAAAATCCAAGCTAGAGGAGAATTGTTTTCATATTTCCACTAGCCCTTACAGTGCAGCATTCCTCCAGAGAGCTACACCTTTCATAGTCCCCTTGCACACTGCAATCAGATATACAAGATGACAGAAGGAGAGAGGTAAGGGAACAACTTTCCCATCTCGTTGCACACAGGAGTTCATTTCAGATCATCTTGTAGGTGAGCTAAGGAGTGCTCATTCAACTCTATCTGAAATGTTTTTGGAAAATGCTAAAAAATGTTAGTGGTTTCTTTGTTCTTAAAGGGGAGATAGGGAAGACTTGAAGCAGTAAGGTACAAACTACACTGAAGGACGTTTATTACAGTCTGTGGTATTACTGAATAATAAAGTGCAGCCTTTATTGGTTTTTAAAAGGTTTGGGAAAACCCTTTCTTTACCAATCTAAATAGTCCAATAATGTTTCTCAAGTGAATATACCCACGTGAAAATGTATCTGCAAGACAAAAGCCACCGTATTCTCTAAGTTTAGTTTGAGATACTGTGGCACAGGAGGCAAATAACTACTTTTCCATGTCAACACCTTAGTACCCCATGTAACTAAAGAGGACAATTGTAACTGTAAATATGTAATCATGAAATCAATAAGTATTTTATTTGTAAATTGGTGTTTTGACAAGACAGCCAAAATATACACTAGAAGTTCAATCTTGCCAATACTTGTAAGTATCTGAACCAAAGTGATCAGAATTTGTGTTATATGGAAAAATATGTGTTGGGGGAGAATTGCACTATTCTGGGTTGGAATCCTTTGATTCTCAGACTCTGTAGTTTTTTTCAACAATGTGTGTGAGTGGTGGTTTTTTTAAAAAAAAATTAAAGGTTTCAAGCAACCATTTCTGTCTCTTGTTTACTTAGATATTATAATCCTTTTGAATGACAGCAATGAATGATCTGACTGGGGAAAGTGCTAAAACCTTAAATAACTTGTCTCAAACACTTCATTTTAACTGCCTTTTCAGCTGTGAAGAGGCAGGTAGCTCCACAATTAGCATTCTATCAAGCTATCTAATGGCATGCTCTACATCTTTATCCAAATTGAGGCAGTTTAGTTATGTACAAATTTATTACTCAGATGCCCAAGGACAGTCTTTCTATCTCGTATTGGCATCTAACTTGTGTACAGTGGTACCTCGGTTTAAGAACAGTCCTGTTTACAAACAATTTGGTTTACGAACTCCGCAAATCTGGAAGTATTTTCGAGGAAGAGTCCATGGAGGCTATCTTCCTTATGGAAGCAAGCTGCGTGTCTCACCAGGCTAAATAATCCAGTGGTGCTGGCTGCCAGGTATCTGCTTAAATTGCATCTTTCTGAGATAGCTATTCTCACCCCATCAGCTAGGAACACCATACTGCCATTACTTAAGGAGGACTGGCTTTCTTGAACAGCTAGGAAGAAAACTCACTTTCCACCGCTGTTGGAAAGAAGTTTTATATTCAAGTGCTGATGGAGGCCAGTGGACACAAGAAGCAAACATAGGTAACTAAGTTTGAACATATACACACTAGCTATGGCAACAAATGCTGTAGACCAGGAATAGAAAAGGCTATAGCCTTCCTAACTGAATGCTTTAAGGAAACAGTAGGCCAAGGCCAGATGTCCTAACCAATACCAGTCTCCAGTGGGAGGAACCTGTGGCCCTCCAGTTGTAGGACTGCTGTTACCATTTCTGATCATTGGCTCTGCTGCCAGGGGCTGCTTGAAGATGTAGTCCAGCAATATCTAGACGATTGTGTCCCTGAGAAAAATTAAAACCAGCCTTAAACAGGTGTGGATATGACTGTCCGTCTTGGTTTTGTCAAATACTTTTTACACCCTGAAAAGCATTTGTTGTTTATGAAGTTCACAACTGGTGTGTTTGTGAACTTAAAAACCTTAGTTGACATACAGAGCTTTGTCCTTGAACAACACCTCTTAAAGGGCAACCCAACAAAATGTATTCTGGCCCTCAGAGGTGTCTTCGCTAGCCATTTATTGCAAGAAAGCCTCAGTGCTGTTATCTCATTCCCATTCTGAAGAATATTGTTATAGCCCGTGGATATCATAATAGCAGATTGCCCCTTCTGACTGAGCAACTGAAATGGCATGCCCTGCAGTTTCTTATATTTGCCTGTAGGTTTAACTTGATAAAAATGAAGGGAAACCTTTTGTCATGATCATTCTAATGTTTCTTCAGCTTGCAAGAGCTCCCTCTGGTGACTAATTGAGTCCATGTCAGCTTGAAACATCTACAGAGAGTTTGATCCGTGCAAAAGTTCTTCATTCCCAAAATACAAAGGGAATGCTTTCTTTAACACAGTTAACCATGCAGAGTCCTTTTCAATCTTTCTAGGCTTCCTGTTCAATGGAAAGCTTTTTCCATAATTGCCATTCTAGAAAACGTTTAACCTGTTGGATTATTGTCTCCCACATAGCTGTTTGAAACAGAGAAAGTGCAGTAAAGAAGGGGAAATGGCAGTTCATTAGGATCCTAGGGCTTCCTGTCACCTGGTGCCCAAAGAACTCATACAAAATCTGTCTTCTGCAAAGCACACAATGCTAATCCCTTTATTTTTCAACCAAATGGCTCAGACAAAAACATACTATCATGAAAACCTCAAGTATGAATAGCTTTTCTCCTCTCTCTCTCTCTCTCTCTCTCTCTCTCTCTCTCTCTTTCTCTCTCTCTCTCACAGGACCACCAAACTACTGACAATAAAACAGGAAATGAAGGGGGGGATTCCTAGCTGTATATAACCTAATACTTCCATGCTATAGAGATGAGAGAATGAGTATTGTGGTGTGACAGAGCCAGTGTGGCATAGTGTTTAGAATGTTGGACTAGGACCTGGGTTCAAATCCCTGTTCTGCCATGAAATACACTGGGGGACCCTGGGCCAGGCACTGCCTCCAAGCCTAACCTCCTCACAGACTTCTTGTGAGGATAATGTAGAGAGGCCCAATTGTGCTGTGCTGAAGAGCCCAATGCCCTTTGGCCTGGTGGTGCAGAAGTCACTGTGAGGATTGGTCTCCCTTCACCTTTGCTGTATATCAGCAGCTGAACCGAGCCCAGCCCTAACTGAGCAATCTGTTGGCCTGTCTGAAAAGTCTGGTTTTGAAATTAATTGCAAGTCATTGTGTACAGGTATATTACTTTAGCCCATAAAGGGGGGAAATAGATGCTTATTTCAAAGCCTGAAAGCAAGGGGCTTTACCTTGGAGGCACAGGTGAAGAAGAATGTGGCAGATGTTGTACCTGCTGACTAAATGCGTTTTAACGGAGGCCCTCTGGAAGCAGAAGCTTCAATAGAAAGAAGTGAATAGCAAACATCTGGGAAAGATTACAAAAGGGAAAGATTTATTCTGTACTGAGACTACTAATGGGTGGGGACTACCAGGGGAGAAAAAATTAATTGCTTCAGTAACTGCTTCAGTAACACTTTGGGCTCTGGACAAAAAAATAAATGTTTGCATATTCTTCTCTGATCTGCAAAACTCTTTCTTGGATCCAGAGGAAATGTGTCTTGCTTCATTGTACTGGTCAGTTGGAGAAGCAGCTTGAACACCTGGAGTGGGGAAGGAAGATGTTTAAGCTCCAGTATTCCTGAGCTGCCTCTCCAAAGGCATCACATGAACCCCAAACATCCTAGAGGGAAATGGGCCTGCGCCACCAAGGGCATCAACCTGGTTTCTGGTGTCACTTTTAGCACCTGGCAAACACCTCCTGCTATCCTGTGGTGGTTTCAGTTTACTGGCAAATTATGGAAATATAAATGCCACCAAGCAAACAGCTGCTCACATAGGAATTCAGACAATATTCCCAAACACATCCAAAGGGTGTCCCAGAGCTACTAACCAAACTTAATTATAGGCCTATCAGCTTCTTGTCAATGGCTTCAGAGAACAGAAGTAGGAATTGTGATACAGCCCCCACCCCCCCGTTACTTAAGATGGGATGAAGGGAACCATGGAAATGGTTAACAGATACTCTCCAGCTGTTGTTTTTTTGGCTTTATCTCTTGACTTTGTGCCACTGGGTAGACCAGTGGTAGGGAAGCTATGCTATTGTATGCCAACTCTCATCATTCCCAGAGAAGGGGAATGACAAACTTGGGTTGACTAGATGGATCCAGGGGGATGCTTCAGTTGAGAAGGGAGCAGTACAATCTCCCTTGAAGGAGGCAGTTGTGCATCCCCTCCTTATGTAGACTTCCCTGTGAGTTAGGAACCTGGCCCTTGATCTGTGGCATTTGGATGGTTCTGGGTAATGGTCATGGCTATAGCCCTAAAGAGAGCAGTTCTCCTTGACTGCAAGGAGGTCAAGATCTTACCAATAATAATGATTCCTGCTGCATGGCTGGGCTCTTTTCTCCGCAACCACATGACAAAAATGACTTTGAGTGCCTCAAGAGCACAAAAGGCACTGGTTGCCTTTCTCCAGTCATTAGGATGGTTCCTTGCTGGTTGGGCGAAGCAGTTTGCAAAAAGAGGAAGAAAAAACAAGCTGGGAAGGAGGTGTGTGTTAGAAAATTTCCATGAGGCTCCTCAGGAAAAGGTCCCCCATGGATATTTTTAGAAAAACAAAATCAGGCAATCTGCTAACGAATATATGACTCCAAATTCCAGTGCCTAATTAATCAGAAGCCAGTGTAGCTAATAATGATGGGAGGGTGGGGCACAACATCATTCTAATTAATCAGCCTGGAAATGAACATTTCAGCTCTGGGAAGAGGAGGGGGTGCTGCTGCTGCTGCTTCCCTACAGCTTCCAAACATCTCCCCCCCCCCCCCCAAGTTAAGGTAATATGAGTTCCGCTCCAGAAGATTTCCCCAGGTGGTCAGTGGTGGGTTCCTTCCTAAGAAGGCCACGATGGGGATTTTCCAGATCACCTTCCTTCTTTAAGGAACAGCTAAATGTGAAAGAGGAGAAGTTCATTTAAATGTGATCATTTCCCCAAAAGGCCCTTACAATTGCCTCTGAGCATCTCTCATAGACTTTTGAATGGGGTTCATGGAGCTGAAATGAATTTATACCCTGCTTTATCCTTTATAAAGGTTGATACCAAAAAAATCCCAGGTGCTTGAATGTTCTTTGAATGTTTTCACAATATTGGTTATGATGTTTGATTTCACTATCTGATACCTGGCAGTTGATAGTTTGCATTACAGTGGTGCCCCGCAAGACGAATGCCTCGCAAGACGAAAAACTCGCTAGATGAAAGGGTTTTGCGGTTTTTGAGCTGCTTCGCAAGACGAATTTCCCTATGGGCTTGCTTCGCAAGACGAAAACGTCTTGCGAGTTTGTTCGCTTTTTTCTTAAAGCCGCTTGAAGAGGCGCAGTTGCGACGGACCGTGCTTCGCAAGACGAAAAACATCGCAATACGAAAAGACTCGCGGAACGAATTAATTTTGTCTTGCGAGGCACCACTGTATTTAACTGCTGATATGAAATGGTGTTTAATATTCTAAAAACGAGGTGTGGTAATTTATGTAAAAGACAAATACAACCCCAAAGAGCTATTTAAAGATGAGGATGAAAGAATGATTGCTAATGAGATAACATTACAAGGTGGGGGGGATTGATAATTGGAATCTACACATTAAATGATAAACTATTGGAATTTTATAAAGAATTGGAAGAAAAATTGTTTGATTTCATGGATCAAAAAATAATTTTAATGGGTGACTTAAACGGGGTAGTCTCATTAGAAATGGATAGGACAATAAGAAAAATGGATTCAAAAGAAGGAAGACTACCTCTGACTTTTTTCAATTTGGTGGAGAATTTAAAATTGACTGATGTTTGGTGATTTAGATACCCATTTGAAAGAGAATATACCCATTAATCAAAGCCAAATCAGTCTGTCAGAAGATTGACTTGATATGGCTATCAAATGAGTTAACATTGAGAAAAAGAACCAAAATACAACCAAAGACCTTATCAGATCACAACCCAGTGTTACCAGAGTTAAAAGGAGTAGAAAACTCCACATTCAGGTGGAGGCTAAATGAAAGTCTTCTAGACAACCATGTAACTATGCAAAAAGTGGGGGAAATCCTGAAGGACTATTTTGAATTGAATTTGCATAAAGGGACAGAACGAAATATTGTATGGGATACAAGCAAAGCAGTAATGAGAGGCTTTTTTTATTCAGCAAAGTGCATACTAAAAAAGAATTTGAGAAGGGGTGGGGAGAAATTATAGAGGAGCTGATAAAAAATGAAAAAGAGTTGATTAAGAAACCTGGAAAGGACACAATAAAACATAGCATAAAAATGTTACAGGCACAATTTTCAATGTTAGTCAACAAAGAAATTGAATGGAAAATTAAAAGGTTTTTGTTCTAAAGATGAATGTATTGCCAAGAATGTTGTTTTTGTTTCAGACAATACCTGTGGCCAGTGGGGAGGGACACTTCAAGCAATGGCAAAAAGATAAAACTAAATTTATCTGGCAAGGGAAGAAACCAAGGATTAAATATAAATTATTAACAGATGATAAAGAAAGAGGGGACTTTTCTTTGTCAGATTTAAAATTGTATTATGAGGTGTCCTGTCTCTGCTGGCTAAAGGAATGGATAACTTTGAAAAGCACAGGTATTTTAGACCTTGAAGGTCATGACAATAGATTTGGATGGCATGCTGCTCATTGAAATAAAATTATATGAAAATAATGTATAGATGGTACTTAACACCGGTAAAACTAGCAAAGATGTATAGAACTGCTTCTAACGTATGTTGGAAATGTAAAGAAAAAGAAGGCACTTTCCATCACATGTGGTGGACGTGCAAGGTAGCAAAAGCATTCTAGGAAATGATATATAATGAGTTGAAAAAAATGTTTAAAATAACATTTGTGGAAAAACCAGAAGCTTTTTTGTTAGGTATTATAGGTACAGGGATTCCGAAAGAGCAGAAAAGACTATGTATGTGATGACAGCAGCAAGAATACTACTGGCCCAGAGATGGAAAGAAGACAAATTTCCAACCAGAGAAGAATGGCTGATGAAGATGATGGACTATGCCGAAATGGCGAAATTGACCAGGCGAATCAGAGACTAGGACGAGAAGTAGTTTAGGAAAGAATGGGGGGAAATTTATAGTCTATTCAAGAGAGCATTGTAAACAGTTAAAAACTTTGGCAGGATTAGAGTAATACTTGTAAAAGACAAAATATACTGGAAAAGTTAATAATAGATACAATAAGTTTGGGCAGGGGGAGGATAAGTTGAATAAAAAGAGATGGACAATGGAAACCAGAGAAGGGCAGGGGGACGTCAAGGGATTCTGAGAATCCTAAATGTAAAGGTGATTGATATGTTTAAACTGAATTTTGTTATGTAAAATTTAATTAAAATATATATTTTAAAAAGAAAATATGACCTTAACTCCTCTTGTGCACTCAAAAGTTCCAGTGGTACCTGGTCGGATAACTCAGGTCACAGAAACAGGCTGATTCACATAGCGAAATATTTAGCTGAACTGGGCAGGGTTGTGGTGTTCCGGTGAGCAACCAAACAACTTTCTTATTTTATTATTAAGTTATTTAAAATATTTCTAGACCAGCCTTCATCTAAACAGACCCTAGGGCAGTATACAAGGGGCATGAATAAACCTGCTCATGCCATATATACAAATCCAAAACCATCATCATCAACGTTCACAATCAATTAGTAACATGAGAGGCATCAATGACAATTAACTTAGCCATTTTAACTGCCTGGACAAATGAAAAGCTGAAAATATTGTTATGGCAACACCACTGGTTAACTCTCTTGGGAAGGCATTCCAAAGTCAAGGTGCCACCACAGAAAAGAACCTTTCCTTTGTTACTGTGTAAAGTGCCTCCACTAAGGAAGGAACTTAGAAAAGGGCCTCAAAGATTTTGACAAGGGTGGGGAGCCCATGGTTCTCTTCCAGATATGGCTGGATTCCAAATCTCATCAGCCCCAGCTGTGAGCATGGACCACCGTCAGAGATTGTGCGCTCCAGCAACATCCGTAGGACCACAGGTTTTCCACCCCTGTCAAGGATACTATGTGGCTCTGAAGGATAGTCTTTGGCATTTAAAGATAGGGCCGAGCACCTTGAATTGGACTTGGAAGTGAATAGGTGTCGTCTCCTGGATAAAGAGGGGCTGAAATTACTAGCCAACAGCTAGAAATACCCTTTTGACGCCACTCCAGCAGGTTGGGGAAGAGCTTAAGAGAGGCGAGAACGTTCTGCTTTTCTTCCTAATTAATTGGATTTTTGCGAAACGAGGTGTCATGTCGATTAGTTCAGTCAGAATAACTTTGGGGGGGTAGGAGACTGAGTGGATAATTCAATGTTAGCCAAAACGAGTGTTTGTTTACTTTTTAAAGAAAACCAGCACCGGGGGGATGTTCTTTTAACAAATTCAACCTGCGTCCTCCTGACTGTACAAAATTGGACGGCTGGACCTCGCTTTAACTCGCCGGATCCGAGCCCTCTACGGAACGAGCGTGCCTCGCCGAATGGTTTAACTCTGTTCACACGCGACTGGGACAGAGATGGGGCGACGGGGAGAAAAGGGATCTGAAATCCAGCCGAGAAAATCAAGCATAAAGTTTGACCTTTAGACTGGCAAAAAAGGAGAGAGGTACTGCCACAGATAACCCGGCTAGATGCATACAGAGGACCAAAATCTCCTTGGAAGGAGGAGACAGAGTTCCGACGCCTGTTGATGTCCATGCGCGCGCAACTCCCACCAGCCACAGCCAGGCCCAGCAGGGACCGAAGGGAGTTGTAGTCCATTAACGGCTAAAAGGCCCCAGATTGGCAAAGGCTGGGGTGTGAGCAATGTGGCTGCACGCCTCCCTCCCTGCCGTAGTGAACCGGTGCAAGCTCAAGGCCTGGCCAAGACGCAAAATCTGGGGTGAAACTGGATCCCAACAAATCTCCTCTGTTAAGGGATGCCAGAACCCTGGCAAGCCTCGTAGACTGGAGCACAGGCCGGGTCCTTTGCTCCCTGAAGTATTTTGGGGTGCGGTTTTCTTATTTTTAGAAAGCAATCCAGTGAGCGCCACTCCAAATTACCGTACTTAGAAAGTAAGCCCAGCCCACCCCGCCATATATTGGACATGCTTTCAATACACATAAATACAATGCACGGTTTGCAGAGGGTTCCACGAGCGATGCAAACTAAATCCACCAACATTGCAATCCTCTGCAGACCCCATGGAGTTCGAGAGGGCTTATTCTCAGGTTAGGTGTATAGGATTGCTGCCTAACTGCTCAGCCCTACTCCGACCTGAGTAATGGGCGGGAGGGAGAGCAAGTCCCTCTTGTCTGAGCGAGGAACTGGCAGGATGTGAGGGCATCACGCGTGCAAGGCAGGGCACGGGCTTCTGCCTCCAGCCAGGCAGGCACCCCGGTGGAAGACCCGCTCCTCCCTGCAGCAAAGAGGCAGGAGCCGAGTTGCCGCCTCCTTTCTGCGGGCAGTGATGCGCCTTGGCAACCCGCTGCCTGGGGTGACTCAGGGAAGCCATCGTTTGCTCCGCAGGCTTCTGGGTTTCTTGCTCTCTGAATGCCTGGCCGTGCATCTTTTGCGCCCCATCCAGAACTGGCCACGATCCTGGTGAGTGGGAGCGGGAAGTGCTTCCACCCAGCCGCCACCACACAATCTCTCTGCGGTTTGGCTGTTGTTGGGCCGCGCATTCTTGCAGCAGCCTTTCCCGACCCAGGACTGCTGAGCTGTGCCGACTCACTAGCTCTGACTGAAAGGCGGCGGCGAGGGAGCGAGGGAAGAGGAGAGATCGGCGGCGCGCTTGCTGCCTCCCAGCAGGGTAGACTCGTATTTTGAAAGCGCTCTTTCCCCTCTCCTCTGCTGCCGGGTGCGGCTGGATCCGAAAGGGGTCAAGTGTCACTTCCTCTCCCAGTCAATCTCCAATATTCCTTGTAATGTTTTCAAATGGACGAATTCATTACGCCGGGCCGGCTGAATAGGGAAGGGGAGCCCTCGCGATGGGCGATCAATAGCTTCCCCTAATAGTTCGTTTTGCACTGACCTAGGAAAGGATACGGATCTGGGGCGGGGGGGGTGGGGAGAGACACAGAAAGAGGAGGGAGGTAGAGGCTTAGGTCACTGGGTTGCTTGGGATAATACCCCCCATCCCCAAAAGGGCCCTTTTCACTTCCCCTTTTGTAGATTATAAGAACAGGGATTTTACTAAGATCAGAACTGACGGCTGAGTAGCAAACAAGCCTCGGATTAAAGCATTGCGGGAGTCAGGGCCGTCTAATTTGTTACTCCTGGAAGGGTAAGAAAAGAATCTCTCTCATGACTTATGGGTGTAGGTTGAACGTCGAGGGCTAGAAAGTTGCTGAACTGAAAGCGAAACCCTCAACCACGGGGCAGGTCCCGTCCCCCCAACTCTCCCGTTGTCCGACGTGTTCTTCCGTACCCAATAGTCCGACTAGGTGCAGGCGCAGTACCGATTTGGGCAGCCGGCTTTCTCCCCAAAACAATCGCTTCTTAGCCCCTTTCTCCACTGCCTTCAGGAATGCCACTGGTGTGTCACACGCGCCTTGGAAACGAGACACTTGGGCTTAACCGGGTCCTGGATCTTGGCCCCTGCGAGAAGCCGCCATAGCTAGCGAGGGAAGTGACGCTGTTGGCGCGTAGAGTTGCAGGAACCGCAGCTGCCTGGCATGTCTTGGGCATCTGGCTCCAGTGGTTGTGACTGTATTTTAAAAGCGTCTTAAAACAAGTGCTCATCTCCATCACGGTTGTGCGCGAAGAAGAACGCGCAGTCCGACAGCTTGCCCAGCATAGTTGGCCAAAGCAAGGGAGTCCCTTGCTCTGCTTGCCGGGATCGGGGTGAGGGCCCCCCAGCATTTGATGACAGCCGCCAGCTTTGGGAAAAGGCCGATAGAATCGGCTGATCACACCGGGCGGAGCAGAAAGACAACAGAGCCCTAAGCAAGTCTTAACCAAGTCTTAAAGCAAATGGTTTTCCGGCTTCGAAAAGAATCGACAGTATGGCAGCGTCTTGCCCTGCGGAAAAGGAGGGGAAGACTGGACACCCCAGCCCGTGCGTGCAAACGGAACTGACCAGGGCAGAGCATTTTAACCATTTAACTGTTCTCCCCACTCTCGCTCCCCGCATGTGCCCAAGATCCTAGTCGAAATGAAGGCACCACTTTTCCTCCTTAGAAGCCCGGTTGCAACTCATGGTTCCTCCCGGAGATCCAGAACTGCTGCGCAACTATCAGCAGAGGGGAACCCCTCTTTTCTTAGCTTTTCAACTGGGCTTGAGGTATACAGACATACAGTTGGTGCGTGCCAGATTCCGCCCCAAAGCCCGGGGCCTCTGGAAAGTGCCAACAGCGCCATCCGAAGCAGGGCCAGTCAACTGTAAATTACTTTAGTTCAACGAAGCGCAAGCCTTGGAAGGAGTGATTTGGAGAGGAGTTGGTTGCTTCCCAGTGGAAACTTCTACTACTTTACAATGGTTGTTTGAGTACACAGTAAACGATTTTGTTGCTTTGAAATGTATATATATTGTAGCTAAGTTTAATAAGCAAATCAAGTGTGCAGCCGCGGCCCATTCCTTTCGGAGGGAGATTTTTGCCACTGGCCAGGGGCACAATTCAACCGGAATTACTCGTGAGCAGCTCCCCTTCTTGTCCGAAGGGCGCCCACGCCCTGGAGGAGGATATCTCCCCTGAGTTGAGAACCTGTCCACAAGCATCTCTAATGGCAATACAACGCCAAAGCCAAAACCTCACATTTCCCATGCCTCTTGTGCACACCAGATTCGTTCAGAAATTCAAACAAAGCGTTTAAGTAATGTCTTAAGGATAGAGCCCATATTTGCCCAGGAGGGACAGTTAGAAGAGTTCGCCTAAAACGCAGGTAGAATGAGAGTGCCTTTTTGGCGATTTCTAATAGTGAATTTAGGCGTTCGACAATCGCTCTAAAATGGGACGTTGTTTAAAAAGACTAGCTTTATTCGGTGTAATCCGAGCCCCACTGGATGTAGTGAAAGTCGTCCCTGCCTATTTCCATTTCAATTGGTCAGGATCTCACCCCACAGCAGATATATTTAATCAAATAAATTTCCTGCTGAAATATTTCTCCATAAGCACACAGTCTTGTCCTTTAAACATGTCGAAAATCACAAACCCTAATTAAAAACTAATAGAAGCGGTGTGTTTTGTTAATTTTTCGGACTGGCTATATAAATTTATCAACCTAGCTTTCTTCCCCTCCTCCGCCCTCAATGCGGAAGCAAGTTCATTTCCATTCTTCCCCCCACCCCGCGACACACACGCACACCCGAGATGAGAGATTTCTCCCGGCTGCCAGGATTTTAAATACGATGTGTCAGGATGCGAAGCCAATGTTGTTTTAGCAGACAAGTGGTAATAACAAAACTATTTATGCAAGCCCATTAGAGCAGCCGCAGGAGGAACCCTGACTGGTAGTTAAAATTTCTGAGCCAGAAAATTAAAAACAAATATTTAACTTTGCAATTTTGAACCCACGGCTGCAACCACGGTTAAACTTTTACAGTGCATATTCAATGAGCGACTTCCCCGGCCCCTTTTAGACTACCCAGGGGAAGTGGCTTGGATGCGGTTTCAAAAGGGATTCCTCCTAGATGCGCTCAATCCCCCTCCCTCGCACGCAAGGGCAAGCTGGTGTGGCAATGTGAAAGGTTCAGACACTTTCATGATGGAAGAAACAGAGTATTTGGTGGAACCAGTTCTTTTAAAAATAAATATAAAAATGGGCAATTTAAAAAAAAATAAACTTCGAGATCCAAACTTTGCCCCTTGGGTCGCTGAATTGTGTGGGTTTCCGCGCGCGCCCTTCCCCATAAGGGGCAGCAAGAAATGAAATGTCATCAGCCGGTTGATGAAAAATTCTGCCCCAACAAGAGTCCTGCAAGTAAGAGCAGCCGGGCTGAATGTAGCAGACATCCAATATTCATAGGTCTCTGGATGTGCACACCCCATCGCGGGTGGGGTGGGGGGAGTTGGAGTGAGGGTTGCCGTTTGATAGCCCGCGCTCCAACAGAGTCGTCCTTATTACCTCGCCACACACTTGATCGTAATCCCTATTGATAAGTTCTTCGCCCTGCCAAGGCAAACCTACTGTATCGACCCCAGCCGCAGTTCAGTAGTATCGACAGAACCCGCCTGCTGCTCGAGGCCCGCCGCCTCTGCTCGGACCGGGTGACCCCCATTCGCTTCTAGACGTTCCCCAACTTTATGGCGGCCCTTTCCCAAGGAGCGGCATCGATTTTATTTTGCCCAGTGAAAGTATCGGGTCGTTATCCTCGTCTCTCTCTTTCTCTCCCTCTCCAGTGCTGTTCAGAAAGCAAAAGAGCGGTTTGGTTCACCATCTTCACAAAATAATGGATTCAAGAGGATGGCCTTCGGTGCCTTCTCAAAGCGAAGGTCTTAGATTTTATCTTCTCACAAATGACTACGTTGTACATCTCCAGCCTCTTTTTGTCGTCTCGTGTCATAACACGGTTAAATGTGACCAAAGAAACCGATTTATTTCCAATGAACCGATTGAAGCTGGATCCAGCTGTTTAAAAGGACGATTAACTGTCCGGATGCATACTTTGCATCATAATTTTGCCAAGTTCCACTCCTCTGCAGACAAACAATGAAGGAAAAATAAAAATAAAGAACCAAATCTAGTGAAAGCCAAACACTTTTCAGTCCCCCTTCTTTTTAAAAAGGGAAGGTTAGGCGTTCCCTGGGAGTCCATAGGAAACTCCAAAGTTCCTAACTATCCAAATTTCCTAAGACCCACCCTAGCTATCAGGTCAATTGTTATTTTTATTCAGCTTTCCTGCTTTATTAACATGTACATCGTTCGTATTTGTGAATCCAATCAGCAAAAGGAAGCATAAAAGCTGATTAATTTTTTGTCTGAAACAAAGCCAGAGATTCTTCATTCAGCTGAGCAGAGGAATGAAATCGGTTTACTTAGATCGGGAACGATAGGAGGAAATGGGCATTATTTTCTCTACCCTCCCAACATGAACGTAGCCAGGATTTATGTTGGGGGGCAGGCTTTATGTGGGGGGGGCAGAACCTCAGTTAATTAAGTATTTTGTATTGATTTACACTGGGGCAGCTGCCCCTCCCTTGACTATGCCCATGTCCCTCCAGCATGTAGTACCATATTCCTTCCCCATGATTGGCTGATAGTCCCTCCTCTTCCTCCAAGATCAAGGCTGCTGCTGAGCACGGTGGTTACTTCCGAGTAAACCTATCTAGGGTGCCTCTGTGTGTCATTGCCGCACTGGTAATAAAGCAGAGGGATAAATCAAAATATGTATGCTCAGAAGCAAGTCTATGGGACTCTATGGGAGTTCAATTGCTTACTCCCAGGTAAGTTGGTACAAAGTTGCAGACTGTCTTGAATAAAAAATCAATTATTGGAACTATACAGAAGTTGGGAAGTATTGGCGAGGGGAATTCGAAGTGAAGGGGGAAATGCTTGGAAGGGGGGAGGGCCGTGGCATTCTGAAATACTGGACTGGGATCACCTGTGGCTCGGAGTGGCCTCGCCCACACTTAAGCCTTCTCCACCTAACCAGATCCGCGCGTGCAGGCGGCAACGTGGTCAGGAAATGCGCCTAAATTTGTGGCCCAGGAGGGCAGTGAAGGCCAAAGAGAGACGGAAATGAGGAAGCCAGCTGTCTGCAGGAGAGGAGAGAATGTGGACTGGTGGGTTCATAGATAGAGAAAAATTGATCCATCTCACGTCGTCTCCAACTGCCCCCAAATCCGGGGCTCGTCCGATCGACCCCCGTGTCATCCTCGGCCTGGCGGGGAGAGGAGCTGGAGCTGCGGGGGGGGGCGGTGTCAGATAAAGACGTCCGTCAATCCGAGGCCTCGGAACGGGCTGACAGAGCAGGCCGCGGCGCCGTGACCCTGGCCAGCTTTGTCCCCGCGACGCGCAAAGCTCCCCGGCTTGGCAGGAGAGAGAAAATTAAAATGTCACCCATAGTATTGAACTTGGAGCCAGAAAGCCGGGCGAGGATGACGGCGCTGCTCAGGGAGGACGGGGGAGATGCGCGCACCTGGGGCAGGTGGGGAGGGGGCTGGGGGCCATCCAGGCCATCCATTGGGGTCGGTGGGGAAAGATGAAGGGGGCGGCGGCTGGCTTGCGCTATCTGCGAGCTTGCGCGCAGCCCTGACTTTTGCCAAATGTTGTCCCCAGCAGTCAAGCGTCTCCAGCAAGGAAAGCAGCCGGAGGGGGGAGCCACCTAGCCCGAGTTGCTCGAGGGTGTTGTCCGGCGCAACGAAGGAGAACTGCGTCGCTCTCCTTTGCTACAGGCCCCAAGAAGGTAGGTACGTGAGCAGGTACGCAGGTCGGTCGGTGTGCTAAGGGAGGCACTCCGAAATGGCGCGATCCCATGGCAGCAAGAGGGGGGGAGACGGAGAGACACGCCGAGTGATCTACATAAAGTGCCTCGGTTAGATCCCCGAGCCTAGGAAGCCCCGGCACAGCCTGATCTCCTTGCTGTCCAGGCCGCAGCAAGTTGGCTGCAAGTTCCGCGGGGAAGTGGGTTCAGGATAGCAAGGGGACACCTATATATCTCTCTTCTTTCCCCGGACTCCTTGAAGCCCTTTAAACCGGATGCGAATTTGCATCAGCTCGCTCCACTCTCCATGTGCGGATGATAACTTTGACCTGAGTTGGCCTCCCCTGAGCTGGCTGGGAGAATCATTCCCAGGCGGTGGGGCTGGGCCCGTGGTCTGCCTATGCCGTTTGCACCCCACGTAAATTGGTTTGTATCCCGATCCTACTCGTTTCCTCAAGGCATGTCTGGAGGAATTAAGCAGGCCTTACTTCCGAGTAAGCGTGTTAATAGGATTGGGCTGGAATCATGTTGACTATGTGGATTATTGGGGTCGCAGCTGAAAATGGAACTCACTGGGTGGTATCCGACAAACCCATTCTCAGAGTAGACCCACTGATTTAAATTGACACATAGATTTCAATGGGTCTTCTCTGGGGTTGACTCTGTTGAATGACACCCGGCATATATTAAAGGCCACTTTGTTTGATTCGCACATTTATTATCCCATATATCATCACAATGTTCGCTATGGAAAATAAAAACACCAGTATAAAACCTTTCTGAAACAGCAAGCAAACGTGTCTTTGTCAGGGCCATTTTTGTACTTTCAAATACATTTACCCTCCTGCAAACATAAATTTTCCATTTTTTTCGCCGCATTCTAAACTATTACTTGGAAGTAAGACGCAGTGGTGGTTGCAACGGGTATGTGTAAACCGCCCTGGGATTGTTTATGTCGGCAGGCAGCATCGAAATTTCTTGCATAAAATGAAGAAACAACTTCCAAACAAACCCGCTTATAGTCGAGGCCCCAAATGCACAAGTGTCATCGGAAGTCCCATTTCTTACAGATAAACTTAATCGGAAGCAAAGGTGGGGCTGCCCTAAGGATGTCTACTCAGAAGGAAATCTTACTAAATTCCTCGTGACTTACTTCCTAGGAAGTGTGAGTAGAATTGCAGCTTCGCCGCGCTGTCCTATACAGGCCTACTCAGAAGTAAGCCCCATTGAATTCAGTGGGACTTACTTCCAGGTGACTACAGCCAACGTCACTTTATTTGGATGCAGTTTAAGTTAGACATTTCTTTTTCCAGAATTATGCGGCGTGAAACGTTCGAAATATTGTTTAGTCCCACATACCGTTTATTTAGTACGTAAATTCAAACAGAAACAAATATTATTATTACAGGAAAAAAATGTTTAAAGACACGAAGTTCTGAAGGAAAGCATCCGCTTTTTCATCTGAGAGAGAGAGGTAGGATATTCAAGGAGAGCTACGCCTTCCACCTATCTCGCCCGCCCGCGACCATTAGATTTCATCGGTCTGCCTTCTAAATTTCCAGCTGGGAGTTAAACTGCAAGCAGCCAAAACAATGACGACAAGTGCGGTGCGGATCCCACTTTGCAGGGTTTCTGAAATTCTTAACTGAAGGCCTCCTCTTGCCCTAACGGCGAACGGCCGCCAGGGGGCAAAGAGGCACCAACAAAGGCCCAACGAGCCAATCCCCTGGGCTTCTCTCTGCAGACAGCGTTTTTAAAAACATGCTCTGGTTGCAAAGGTCTTCTTTTCTATTTGCAAAGGATTTTCCGCTCTCGCTCCCTATTCCCCCCCCCCGCCAAAATAAATAAAAATGAAATAAAAATATTTTCCTTGGGCACAGAGAAACGCTGTCCTAGGCACCCACAAGCATGTTCAGACGGAAGCAACGCTAGGCACTTTCCTGTCTGCAGCTATATAACACATTAAATAAGAATGATATTCAAATATACCAGATCATATCCCTGGCCATTTATCCTACTTACCTTGTCGAAATATTTAACCTATGATCTCCGTGCATTCTAATGACATACTTCTGAATGGACGTTTTACAGGATACACATATTGCTTTAAGCTTTCTCTCCTTCCTTCCTTCCCTCTCTCTCCCTCTCTCCCTTTTCAGTCGGCATAGCTCAAGAAAGCTGGGGAAGGGTCTCTTCCTTGGGGCAGTGGTGGTGCAGGCTTGGAGGTCTTAAGAATTATGGAGCCTGCGAGGCTAGACAGAATCCAAATGAAACCACTCAAGGGAAACTTCGCTGCAGACAAAAACACACACGTACGCAGACCACATTCAATTCCCTGCCTCCTCTTTCCCCCCCTTGACTTATTTGGTTTGGCGGTCGCCCGTTGCAGAAGCCAAACAGGGAAATATCCTTCACACCAGCTCATAAGGAGCCTGGCTGGAGGAAACCCCGCTTTCCCACCCGTACTCCTCTCCTTCTGGGTTGTTTAAATAAACCATTCGGAAGAGCGTCTTGCAGGAGATGCCTCTCTCCTCCCGCCGCCCCCGCCCGGCTTCCTTGCCAACTGGAGCATTACGAGCCAGGCGCATTTTTGCAGACAATGAAGCCCACAGTGCTGCTGAAATGGGCCACCTTCTGTCTCTTCCCCAGGAAGAGGGCACTGCTTTCCTCTCTCCACACACCCCTAACACACACACCCTGCACGTCTCCACTTCCACCTGTCCAGGGGTGCCAAGTTGAACAAAATATTGCGGGGGGGGGCAGGTGAGCCTCGTCCCGCATAATCGATCACATGACGCAGTGCACACACACCCTTTGAATGGCAATGCCCACCAATTTTTGGGGGGGAGCCCTTAAATCTTTTATTGGGGCGGGGGAGGGAATGCGGCGAACGGATCTCGACCCCTAGGAGTTGGCTCCTATGGTGTGCTTTTTCTCTCGCCTGGCATTTCTTGGTTAACTTAACAGGAAGCTGGGCGAGGTATGAACTTGGAGGTTTCGCAGGGATCGAACCAGCCGGTGGTTGGGTGGTGGTTTTTCTTTGGGAAGGGAGGGTTGCCTTGTTTTAAAAGCCGCCCAACAATGGCGATGGCCAGAGTGGAGCTGGGCTCGGCCTTTTCTGCGTGTTCACGAAGCGTTAAAGCTTTATCGAACAAAACAGCTCCGTCTGACCCCGGCCAGACAAAAGGCAACTTCCATGCCCCGCCCCGCCCGCAAACGTAAAAAGAGCGGGCCGGGAAGAGGGAAGGAGGCGACGGCGACCGACCAGGGACAGGCCTGCTTCCCTTACTGCCTTAAGGGCGGCCCCGTCTCCTCCTCCTCCTCCTCCTCTCTTCGACTTGAGGGGGGAACTGCGGCCCCTCCTCGCCCTGGGCGCGAGTGTGGACGAAGAGGCTACCTGGCTCCTTCCCTGCTCCCTCCCTAGCCAAGGCTGCCCCACAGCTAGAAACTGTACTGGTTCCAGGTCTCCCTGCCCCCCACAGCTCCCTCACTTGAAGTAATAATTGGCCTCATTAAGGCCAGCGAAGGGGGAGGAAAATGGCGCCAACGCAGCCCTTTCTTCCCAACTCAGCCGGCGGCCTGAGCGCCAAGCAAGCCCGCTGGGGAGCCTCTTCCTCTGGCAGCCTGTGCTGGGTGTCACGAAAGGGCAACAAATTGTGGCTGCAGCTTTAAGGGAAAGAGGCACGTGTGGGGTTTTCTGCCTCCATCTCCAATATTCTGCACCTGATGGTGGCGGCACTCAGGTGTGCTGCAATTTATTATTTAAATGTTCATAAACCAGCTTAAAATATTACCTCCAATGCTTATGCTCATGCTTGTTATGTTTCCATTTTCACACAAGTTCCTGTTTGTTTCTTTTTAAAAAATTACTTATTGTTTATAATCCACATTTTCATAAAAATATATCCACATATAGTAGTGAAATCGGCAAAAGGCATCCATAAAAATTAGTAAATACTGATTGGTTAAAAAGAGGAAATTCATATTGCAAAAGCCCGCCTAAACAATATAGCTTTCAAAAGACATCTGAAAGAAGAGACTGATCATGCCTGCTGAACCTCTCTTGGTAGGGCAGGGCCTGCCACGCTAAAGGCTCAGTCCTTAGTGAAGGCCAGCTGAACCTCAGGGGTGTGGAGAACCACCAGAAGTGTCCCATCCGATCTCAGTGTTTGAGGTGGGGCAACAGGAAACAAGAGGGTCCTTAAGGTACTTTAGGCTCAAGTGGTTAGGGCTTTGTGAATTGTCCCAAATACCTTGAACCTGGTCTGGTAGCAAATTGGCAACCAGTGCAGTGTGCTCTCTCCTATGAGCAGTCTGGCTGCTGCATTCTGCACTGCAGCTTCCTCACCAGATACAAGGGCAGCCCCACATAAAGAATGTTATTGTAATCAAGCCTTGAGGTTACCAATGCACATGTACATGACTATTTATTTCATTTATTTGCTTTCTAGCTGCTATTTGCTCTACAGCAATGGTTTCCAATTGGTGGTCCGTGGATTCCCCCCCCCCCCGGGGGGGGTCCCAGGTACCATTCACAACAAAAGCTACCATAGAGATATCATTTTTTTCAAAAATGGGGTCCATGTCTTAGCTTTTGAAAAACAGGTGGTCTGCAGTACTTAACTAATTGGGAACCATTGCTCTACAGGAATCCCTGAAGTAGATTGCCTCAAAAGTAAGTCATATACATTTACACTTCAGCTGTTTCTAGATCTTCACCCTCAGACACCTAGCACTGCTCTAGGATAGTATATCCCCAACCATTATTAGGCCATTGTTCTCATCACCTTTTGTTCTATTACACTCCTATTTTGTGATCTGTTGCCGCACTGCACACTTTTTATTCCCACTTTTTATTCCTATCTGTCTAAGGGCAGATAGGGAAGAAATACTAACAGCAGCCATGCTGTTTCAGGGGAGCTGCTGAGTGATAGCAGGTAGAGGTTCCATTGCCTGGCTGTATGCTTCTCATTTACTTCCCCCTCAGGATGACAGGTCTTTTCCCTGTGCAAAAGCATAAATGGAGGAGCCCGGTATAGCGTATACATCTATACATATGCAATGCTAGCTATGCTTCTATAGTCAAACTCATACATAAACACACTATCATGTAACATTTTGCGTCTATAATCCCCCAAGGGTCTGTTTTGCAATTCATATGTGTCTGTTACATCATCTTTAAATGCACTCTCAAGAATTCAGCTCAGCTCTGCCGGAGAAGGATTGTGCGGTGCTCTTGAGAGCAGCAGCCTTTCCTCAGGGCTCACATGCCACCTACTGACCCATGCAGAATCTTGGTCCCTTCAAGACCAAGAGAACTGAAGCTGCCTCCTCTTGCTTGGCTTAAACAGAGGCACCCAGCCTGCCCTAGAATTTAGTCCGGTTTCTACTGATCTGTGAAAAACACGCATATTTGATTGCAACTTCTCAGAACCAGTTGGCAGTTCTAAACTTTTAGGATGTTTTCATAAAGCATTTGAAATATGCTTGAGAACTGTATAGAAGAAAAGGTAGACATTCTAAGCTTCGTTCTCTCTACAGTACAGGGCTGGCTCTACCATTAAAATAAGGCGGCCACTTCAGATGGCAGATGCTGAGGGATGGAGAGTAGATTCTGTTGTGTGAGCCTCCCTGAACTAAGCCTTGGGTGTGGTGGAAAATTCTGTCCCATTCCTAGGGGTTGAAGTAAGATTAATTTGCCAAACTGGTTCGCTTTGTATACAGAATAGAGAGGACATCATTGTCCATTTCTGGCAACAAAATGTGTTGACTCAGCCCTGCCATAGTATATCTCAAGGAAGTTTTTAACCAGGCCAAAATGATGAGTAGCAGAAGTCATAAAGAGGGATGGCAGAGTAGCCAAAGGCTCTAGCTTATTTTGAAGGCAAACAAACTGATTTCTTTCTCTTTTCCTTTGTTTAATCTTATGATCTTTTAAAATGAACAGGTAACTTTTCAATATGTGGGAGATAAAACTGTGCAATCAGTTTTTGTCATCAGGGTTTTAGATCACTGTATCTCAAGCACTTAAGGACGCGGGTGGCGCTGTGGGTTAAAGCCTCAGCACCTAGGACTTGCCGATCGAAAGGTCGGCGGTTCGAATCCCCGCAGCGGGGTGCGCTCCCGTTGCTCGGTCCCAGCGCCTGCCAACCTAGCAGTTCGAAAGCACCCTCAGGTGCAAGTAGATAAATAGGGACCGCTTACTAGCGGGAAGGTAAACGGCGTTTCTGTGTGCTGCGCTGGCTCGCCAGATGCAGCTTGTCACGCTGGCCACGTGACCCGGAAGTGTCTGCAGACAGCGCTGGCCCCCGGCCTATAGAGTGAGATGGGCGCACAACCCTAGAGTCTGTCAAGACTGGCCCGTATGGGCAGGGGTACCTTTACCTTTACCTTTATCTCAAGCACTTAAGCAAATTAATTTTATCATCATCTCCCTTTTGTGCTTACAATCCAGTAAAATAATGAGCTCCAAAACGTTGGTTTCCATTTTGCCCATGTGTATGAGCCAATGTGGGGTAGTGGTTAGAGTTTCAAACTAGGACCTTGGAGACTCGGCTTCAAATTACCACTCAGCCACAGAGCTTACTGAATAGCCTTGGGCCAATCACTACATCTCAGTTTAAACTCATACAGCAATAGCTTAGAAAATCTCCAAGCTATCCACTGCTCTGTCCAACTATTTCAAGACCCTTTATTTGTATTTAATATCTAAACAATTCCTTGCAGGCTGTGTTCTTCCCACAATTTAAAAAGCAGCACATACGTAGTTCTGTTTATTACAAGTTGCAGGGAACACTGTGTTTGTCCCCTGCAGCAAGACTACCCTCAGCCATTACATGGGAATGAGATATTGTGCTACTGGCACCAAATCAGGG